CTCTCTCTCTCTCTCTCTCTCTCTCTCTCTCTCTCTCTCCCTTTTCCCTCTTCTCCCTTCTTCCCTGCTTAGAATCTCTCTACTTAGAATTTTTCCTTTGTTAGAACTTTTTCCTTTTTCCACTTAAGACCTTCCCATTTTCCCCCTTAGATAGGAAACTTTTTACACTTAGCAATAAACTACAATAACTTCTTTAAGTGTCTTTTCTTCCTGCGACCTCAAACCAACAGACCTAAGTTAGAGCCTGGCAGTGCCTGCAGAGACAGATCAAAGGCATTGCTTAATTCTCTGCTGTCCCTGGACAGAGGTGTTAGTGGCCAGAAACTGCAGTTTCTGGCCTCAGAGGATCAAACAGACAGCAGGTCAGCTACAGTAGCCTAGTAAGTAAACTTTAGTAATGTAGATAAGAAAGATTTTATTAAACAGCAACCCTAAATACCTCATAAGATATTACCCCGAATCTCATAAGACCAAGTCTTACTCCTCGCTGACGCTCTTCCAATTCCTATCCCCCTTGGCTACCTCAAGAAGAACCAATTGACCAGAGGAGAAGAAAGAAGATCACCTTCTCCCCCCATCAAGCCAGGTACAGCTCCCGGCATTTTTGTACACAGCAGCTTTTGTGGCCTGTGACTGGAACTACAATGACTCCCACTCAAATGTATACACAAAGTAATAATAACTCTGAGAAGATCTGTACGATTGAACATATATTGCTCTTCCCTTTGTAACCAAACAAAATATCCAAGTATTAAACTGTTAGTGCAGCTGCAGAATGGAGACACTAGCAGCTGGTGTCAGTCAGATCATGTTAGTGGAAAATCTCCCACCTTGCTGTGTGCCTTTCATTCTCTTCTTTTTTCAGTTAGAGGTAGAATTCAGGCCCCTGAGTATATTAGATAGCTACCCTATCACTGAGCTAAATGTCCAGCCTCATCCCCAGATATATTTATGCTTCTCCTTGACTTGTTTACCAGTTTTGATATACACTAGGTTCATTGGACTGGGCCTCAGGTTAAACTAAATATTAGTTGGCCACTCCCACATGGTCACATCACCATTGCCCCAGCACATCTTGAAAGCAGAACAGATTGTAGATGAGGGTTTTGTGGTTGGATAGGTGTCCAGGTTTCCTCTTCTGAGTCCTGCAGATTACTTTCCTATGTCAAGGAGATTAGAATATAGTGGTGAAATTTCCAAGCCCACACCAGTTTAACCTCCCTATGTTCAATGAGATGCATAGATGTCCTCAGCAATAGGGGAGAGGGGTCCACTGTCAGTAGTTATCAGTGAGCTAACATCTGTCCTAACATCAGCCTGGGTTATTTATGAATCTTTGTGGGAGCTCCTGGGCTAACAACTCAACCCAATGTAATGAAATATCATCACTGGGATCCTTGTCGGGCTAGAAAAGATGGCCACTTCAGACCCTGCATCTCCCAGTGTTAGAAGTCCTCACTAAGGTCACCTGCACAGATTCCAGAAAGTTTCCACTGCCCTTTCTCTCACAGCTCCCAAAATGCTCCCTTAATTCCAGCTATTTCTTCCTCTACTTTCTCCTTCAATTGCTTCCCCTCCACCTCATTCCTCCTGCTCCTGTACTCACCTGTCCCCTGTAGGTATGTTGTTATGTGTGGTGTAAAAGTTATTCTTGTAACTTTTGTAGAATAATGTAAAGCATTATTCTAATGCTGATTTCTGTGCTTCTGTATCTGGTTGCAATCTTTATTCTGAGACTCTCCTGTCTCAATGTTGTAGAAACATTTCTTCTAATTTATTCCCTGACTTGTCGATAAAGAAGCTGATCAGCCAATGTCTGAGCAGAGGAATGAATAGGGATAAGCTTCCTCCCAGCCAGAGGAGGCAGAGTGGGAGAAAGGAAGTGGGGATTCACAATGGGAATGAAGGTCCAGGAGACAACATGAGAAAATGCTGGGTTGTAGTGTGCATGGTTTGATGTGCGGGTCTCCCGTCTGCCCCACCCCCACCCCACAGGACTAGGGCAGCTTGTGGAGGACAGAGGCAGGTTGTGAGAAGTTGACTGTGCTCTCCCCATGATGGGGATGCAAATTTCATGATGTCAGTTTTTTTAAAGTTGACTTATACTTTATTGTAAAAATGTACTGCATTTTCTTCATTTATTCTTCAGCTTAGGGACATCTAGGTTATTTCTAGTTTCTGGCTATTGTGAATAAGGCCACAATGAACATAGTTGAACAAGTATCCTTGATGTAGAATGGAGTATACTTTAGGTATATGCCCAAAACTGATACAGCTAGGTCTTGGGTTATATTGATTCTCAAGCTTCCTGAGATTTATTTTATTTTATCCAAATTTCTGTGTTGACTACAGTATGATATTTAACAATTAACAAATGATATATCACGATCCTAAGCTCATGCTCCATAGCATCCAATTATCTCAAACACCTTTTATAATGTCTCCTACTGTTCTCCCTACACTATTTTTACATCAAAACAAACAGAAAAGTGAAAAATATGTACAAAAAGCACACACAAATATGTACATAAGACCATAAAAGGACAAAATGTGAAACCATAAAATATAAGCAAAAAGACCAATAATGTAAAAATGTTCAGAGAAAGTATTATAAGAGAAAAAAATCTCTAAAAAATACCACTGAGTTTCAATTTATTGTCTATGACTGGGCATGGAGCCTGCCTGTTGATGTGGTTTTCATGCCCAGTGGGACTGTTTGGAGAAAAAGGAATTCTCCTTTGTGAGTGGTCAATTAGTGGTAGTTTCTGGATTAAAGGTGGGAGGACATGTCCACTTCCCCTTCTCAATACTGGGACATCATCCTGGACTTGAGGAAGTCCTGAGCATGCAGCCACCATTTCTGGGTGTTCATATGTACACCAGTCGTTGGAGCCTTCCATTCCTACTGATTCTTATAACCTTTCCTCTTCCTCTTCCACAAATTTTCTGGACCCATGAGGAGAGGGGTTTGATGAAAACATTCCACATAGGACTAAGTATTCCAAGGTCTTTTGCCTTCTGTACATCATCCAGTTGTGGCCCTCTGTAATATTTCCATCTACTGCAGGAGAAAGCTTCTCTGAAAATGACTAAGTATGACCCTGCTCTATGGATAAAAGCATGTCATTAAGGGTCATTATATTGCTACATTTCTTTAACAGAACAATAGTATTTGATTTTCTCCTAGGTCCATGGCTTATCTATTTCTAGGTTCTCTTTTACCTGAGCAGTGTCAGACATGGGATCCATCTCATGTAGTGGACCTTAAATCCAATCAGGTTTGTTACTTCCACAGGTGTTGTGCCACTGCTGGAGAAGTGTATCATGTGAGCATGTCACCATTGTAGACAAAGGCTTTATAGATGTTGGTGTTTACTTTTCCCCTCTAGTAACGTGTAGGAGACATTAGAAAAAGATTGGGTTTCAGATATTTGGATGTTATAGATCATCAGCCTAGAACTGTAATGTATCATTTACATATATTTAAAAATTATACTTTAGTAAGCACAGAAATTTGGATAAAATAATAAAATATTG